ATAAATGCCATTGCACACCTCCAGATTAATCAAAATTGATGCAATTACAGGCATAAAGGGATTGTAAACCTGGATGAGTGCTCACAAGGCATAACTTTAAGGGTACGACCCCTGTATGATGTGGATTCTCTAACAGTGGCCATCACTGTGCAGCCTGTTGCTTTCCAGTTTCATGTCCTTCCTGCCCAAGCCAAACTTGATGCTCATCTGTTATTTAGTGCTTCTGATCTGTAATGACCATCAAGGAGGTGAAAAGGTGCAGTAAATTTTAAATCAGTCTGCTGTTGAAGCCAGAGTCATGAGAATTGCATTTTAGTGGCTCGGTCACCAGTAGGAGCTTCAGTGCTGGCATGATAGCTCTTCCTTTCAGCGTACAAATCCACCTCTCCAGTTTGAAGTTAATGACTGGAAATTGCTGGAGATTCTGTTCCTCAGAATGAGGGGAAATGTGTTAAGAAGTATTGTGTAGGATTGGGGTTTATCTTCCATTAAAATACCGATGCTGATGTTTCCAAGACTGGCGTGTTATGCTCTAGAAGGAGCATCCTTCTGTTTTCATCTTCTAATTTGGTTAATTCCATGCTTGCAGACACTATTACTCTCTTTAATGTTCAATTAAACTAATGAGCTCCTAAATATAGCAAGTAATCCCTGTTTTTTTTTTCTTTCTTTTTTTTTTCTTTCTTTCTTCTCCATAAGAATACTCCTATTGAACCTGAAAGCAAGATTTACACGATAAAATCTTTGCCCTGAGAGGCTCCTCAAAAGCTTAGTTATAAGTGTGTAGGATCTTCAGCTAAGAGTTGTGTAACGTGGTAAGTGCTTGTAATCATTTCTGACCTGGAATCAGCCTAACTTCTAATGCTATAATGCTTGTAGTGCTTCGAATACCACCTTCATACAGTGCATCAGAAGTGTACCGTTCACCTAATTACTAGTTCAGTAACTAGTTAGGTTAACTCTGAAACACTGGCTATTATGCTTAGATATTTTTTCTCAGAATAAAACGATGCCAAATCTGTGAAATCATCTGCTGGAAGTGGTTGAAAATAGTATAAAAAATAATTTCAAGACACTCAGAACTAGGTGTGAGCTCTGAAAATTAACACCAAGTGAGGTTCTCACCCTCAGTCTTCTTGTGGCAAATATTTGGGTAAGGTGTAAACAGGGCACAATGGTACTGTGCTTCATGTTGACCTTTCCTAAGAAGAAATGCTGTGCCTGTACAGACAGAGAGGGCGTGCAGCCTCTGCCTTCCTCAGCCACATGTGTCTGTGGGGAGGGAGAACTGAAAAGGCCACCTCGGGCAGTGAGATACACTGACCATTATTTTGTGTTCACATCTTTGTTTCTACTCTCTTATGTTAAAAAAAAAAAAACAACACAAAAACACAACGTAATTTAGTGCAAGATGAATCCACTCTGCATACGGGCTGAGCCACAGACTATACTCAAGTCATGTGGCTGGTGGAATATTTGCACTGGAAAGTCATCTTATTACCTTTACATTAAACAATATCCTAGGCCAAGTCTTCCTTGCCCTACTTAAGCAAATAATTCTTTGTATATGGGGATCGTCCTTTGTCTCATTGGCAAGTGACCATTGCTGGCAGTGGTTGATTTGGAAGGTGCTTTGCTTTCCTTAGCTTTTCTGTGTGTATTTCTCTGTGTGTGCACAAGCATACTGGTGCATGAAAGATGAGCCCAACATATGATAAAGGTTAACATTTGGAAAGGTTGTTCTGGAGTATTAAAACCTACCTGTGTGGGTTTATCACGCAGCTGTGAAAAAGACAATGTGTACTACCCCAATGAAAAAAAATGGCACTAAAACAACAGTAGCATAATTTTAATTGTAAATAAATAAATAAATAAATAAATAAAGATTGCAGGGTTTAAATTGCCCTTCATATTGTCAATATAATCATTTCTACAGAAACAGTTGTAAATCTGAATGAGTGTTCATAAGGAATGACTTTCTGATGAGATCCTTATGGGATATCTATTCTACAGCAGTGGGCATCACTGTGTAGTCTGCTGCTTTAAAATTTTATTTATTAATATTATTATTTTTTATCATATGAGGAAGACTTGATGCTTGGAAAGATGTGTGATATTGTTAGCTTTGTGGCTGTGAAAACGTTTTTGTTCAAGGCAGCAAAGCTAAAAGGGGTGCAGGGAAAACATCAGGGAAGGATGTCTTTGCTCCACAGGTGCTGGCAGATGTTGATTATTGAAATAGGCTTTCTCCCTGGAAGTTTGTGGCAGGTTTTGATAGCTGGAAAGAGTGATGATTACTGTAGGGTTGTCTGTGAAAAACTAAATTTTATCTGTAAATAAAGCAATTATAAAGATAGTGCCTCCCGCTTAATGGGAGGCATCTCAAGTACAGTTAGAATTTCAGCTTCCATTTGTATTGTAGGAATATGGTTTAAAATCAATATGCTGATTAGTTTTATTACTTTGTTATTTTATTTAGTGCATCTCCGTACCACCTCCAGATACATTTACACTTACCACAGATATAAACCGAACAGTAAAGTTAACCAGCACAACAACATGCAAGCAAGTAGTCAGCAAAGATCTGAAATACCCCTCAAGATCTCTGGCCCTCCAAATAGGACCCTGGAAATGGTCTGATTAAACAGCTAATTATGCTCAAAACATCCTCTGAAGTTAATTAAAATTGGTCTTTGCCAGGGGAAGGGATGGTGTATTCTGTGAGGTATCAGGCATCTAACTGGGGAACCATGAGGATGCCTCTGAGCAGTGGTGCCTTGAATCCTGATGGCACATCAGAAGGAGACCTGAATGTAGTCACTCGTCCCTCACTACCTATCCCTGTTTTCCACTGGAAGAAAATCTGTAAGAAGGTCAGGGAAGAATCCGTGGTGGCCTCCATCAGTCCCTTTATCTGGATATTGAGGGACTGAGTCTTTAGGACATAGCTGCAGAAGGCATTGCACTTGCCTTGTGGTTTGTGTGTAGCATCAGAGCCCTCCAGCTGATTAATTGCTGACTGAAGATTAAAAGGAGGTGTTTTTTCAGATGTAGAGGATGAATCAGAAGTGTTTTGGCAAATCAAAGTCAGTTGTTGGACCTGGGAACGGAACACTGAAGCCAACGGAGTTTATGCAACACAGGATTTACATGGCTCCAGGGGACAAAACAGAGCAGACACATTGCACCTCTTTTATTTCTCTGCTCTCTGAGATCTAGGTTAAGCACGTGGCATTCACACCTAGCAAAGTTAAGCACGTGGCATTCACACTGCAACAAAGTCTACAGCTCCAAGACAGGCTTCTAACTCCTCAGCCAACTGGAAAGGCAGGAACAACCCTGGCACCTACTGCTAGAAGTCAGATCCCAAAACAAAGTGGGATTTAAGATGGAGAGGTTACATTCAGTGGCAAATTCTTCAGGGAAAGTGAACCAGCCCCTCCTGTCCCGTGCACCGGGGCACAGTTGTGTCATTCTCGCTGCAGAGCTGTGCACCCAGCAGGGATGGTTGGCACCACGCAGAAGAGAAGTGGGCCAGAGCTAACCCTTTATGGCAGCTGCTTAAGTAAATGATGCACATAGGACAACATAGGTGAGGCTTGCTGGAAGTTGGGATGGATGTCTGAGCCATGGGAGGTTGCGAGGAAGAAGGTCCTTTCTCAACTCCAAACTCCCTTTTGTTCTCAAAGCTTTATGACAGGTTTTGACTGGCTAAACCAAGTGGCTTTTCCAGCTCAGTCATTTAAGTCTACGGGGCCCAAATTGAATGGCCTTTAACATTAGTCTTTAAATCTTTTAATGTAGTGATTAAACATGACAGGGATTACGCCTCTGCCCAATAGCAGCTCACCTAGGTGTGCTTGTTGGCGAGATGCGAAGCACAAAGCCAAATGCTCTTAAGCATCCAAGCACACTGCTATTTCAAAACCTAACAAGCCCTGTCATGTCTTCTGATTATGAAGCTTTGCTTTTTTTATTGGCGATAGAGTGAAACAAAAGGCTGATTAAAAGAACATATATTAAAAAAAAAAGGGTGAACAAAGGTTAGAGCAGAAATTTAAGGTTATCATCCTAAGTACTTTTAAATATATATGGTATATGTTTTAGACCTAGTTAAGAGGACCGTTCTATTAGAAAAAGAACATACAGAGACATGATTTCCTCAGGTATCCAGGCGAGAGACTAAATTACACATAACAGGCCACATCAAATAGAGTTTGACACAAACCCCATTAACTAATAAAAACATTCTCCTGGTTGCCAAGTCACCTAAAAAACTCCCCGGAAATGTAGAAAAGAAGGTGGCTGTGTGAGCTGTGGAGCCTTTAGTTTTACCAGCAGTTAGTGTTTTAATTCCTGCAGGATTTCTGCCTCACTACGCAGTCCAGGATGGGCAGGGCCTCTGTATGTTTTTTTCTCCTCATCAGTTCTTGTGCGTCTTAAGGTTAACATACAGTTCATGCAGGATTTAAACCCTTTTATGAAGACAACGTGCTCTGTTTTCGTGTAGGCCTTTTCCCATGATACTAATTCCTATGGCAACTGAGTGCTTCACAATGTTTTATTTTCATAACATCTCAAAGAGATTAATAGGTAGCATTACCATGTTTTACAGATTAACAGCAGAAAGTTTCAGGTAAAAAAAATGAAGTTTACTCATTTATTGAGGGGAAAATGCCGTTTCAACAAAAGCAGATAGCCCATTGATGGTTTTTGCTTCACCTGGAAACCCCTCTGCGAAGCGTGACTGTGTCACTCTGGGAGTGGGATTCCTATTTTTCCTCCAGCAAAATCAAATTAAAATGCTTCCCTTCAACCTGCATGACTTTAAGAGGAATACTTTTTTATTTATTTACCTTTCCCCTACGGGCTCCAAATATCTCATTTTAAATATTTTATCTTAAAAGAAGTCAATTGTGTTTATTTGTGGTACACTGTAGTAGGGGGCAGATTTTCTAGCCTGCTTCTCCACCAGTGGATGCAGAGTCCTCAGTGGGCTGTGTCTCATAATGCACACTCTCTGAGAGGAGTTACATGCTGCTACTGTGCTGTGGCAAATGGCATTTAGACCAGGAGTTTCTAAAAAGCAAAGAAAACGTGGATTTGTCACGCTGCTGGTACCCGCGGGCATGCCATCAGCCCGGACGATAACCAGGATTTCTCACAGGACCAGAGCTGGTGAAGGACGCAAGGGAGAGCAGCTGCCTCGTACGGGGTGGGTGCGGTGTCAGGAGAGCTGGGACGCTTTGTCGGAAACTTTCATGGCATTTCTCGACAGAGGAGAAAGCAAGGAGAGTCTCACTGCCTGTAAGCTCCCGAGCACGGATGTTTTTGCTTTCTCGTTTTGCTTTTTCTTTGCGTGCTGCTTTGTCTCCTCCTGCGCTCGCCTTTCTCTGCGTTCCCAGTTTTCTCCAGGCTTCTGTGTTTCCCATACAATGTTTTATTTATACAGCACTCTCCCTACTGCCGTGCCGCATACCAGTCTCTGCTTTGCTCTTTTATGCTCTCACTACTCAGCCAGCCCCACTTTTCCCCTTCTGCTCTCCCTCCACGCTTTTTTTCTCGTCAGCCTCCCCACCTGTACGTCCCCCGTTTCGACCTGCTGTTCCTACTCCTACCCCTCCGAGGGAGCAAGAGCAGCTCCTGGCCACCGCTGGGTGAAGCCGTGTCGATGAGATTATTTTAAGCAACGTGTGCAGGCAGGGGTGGTCAGGGCAGGCTAATTTCAAGGTTGTCCAAGGAGGCCTGAAGAAATGGGGAAGCGGTGCGTAAACTGAAGGCAGTACACAGAAGCCACACAGGCTGTGCTGTGAGGAGGAAAGGCACCGTCTATATGGCAAAGAAACTGGAGTCTGCACTTGCTGCTCTACTTCTCTGTACCTTATTTTGGAACCTGTTCATCTGTGTGGATAGCACAGCCGAGTTAAGCTAACAGAAACAGAGACCTTGCCCAAAGGTATTCTCCACCCCAGCAAACGAACTGAAAGTATAAAACATCCGGGGCAGTCTGAGCTTTAACAATGGTTAAACAAAACAACCAACGACAAAAAAAGAGCTTTTACTGTGTATTTTAAGGAGTTTCAAGGACAGCAAAAATCACTGGTGTGATTTAGCAACCCGTATCAGGAGGGAATTGCTTAACACCTCTGGGCAGGCTTCCTGCTGGTGGCATCTGCTGGGCTTCTCGGCAGCGTGACAGGCGATGTGGGGGGGGCCTGGTGGCCCTGCACTCTTCTTGGTGACCCTGTCATTTCTGTTTGCCTCATTTGCTGATGGTTACCAGCTGGGTCCTGGCTCTGGGGTGGGCTCTCCCACCAAGGGAGCAGGCACATTTCAGCCCATGGTGCTTCAGACCCCCAGAAAGCACACGTAGAAATGGTGGAGGCCTTTTCCGCAGCTTTAGAGGGTGTATTTTGCTATTACTTGTATTTCTTTTGGGTTGAGAGGCTTCCCAAAGGGGATTTAACCCCCCTTGCACTCTGTTTTCAAGGTAAAATAATCACGAATAAGAGGACCTGTGTCAAAACCTAAGTGGAGAGAAGCAGGGGGCAAGGACAGCAGGTGCCTCCAATGCTGCTGCAGTGATGGTTGTTGCAGTAAGCAAAGGTCCCAGAAAGCATATAAGCTTTTAGGAAAAATTTTCCAGTGAGGGTAAATCACTCCAGTGGCTGACCAGAGCTTTCATCAGCTTACTCTCAGCTTAGGATCCTCCCCAAGCTCTTACAGCCTCTTCTATCCTCCTCCATACGAACAATCCCTGCTAAAGGGATGTGGGCCTTTGGTTGTGGGTTTCCTTTCCAGAGCTGAATTCTTTATTATCATAGTATGTGCATAACCTTGGGATACCAAAAGCCTGTTTTAGGGTCTGTGAACTGGCTGTGCAGGGCTCTTTTACAAGATACCACTTTAAAGCACTTTTTCTTCCACTGGTTTTAATAAAAGTTACTGAGAGGTGAACCAACTCAGTGTGTGATTTGCCAATAAGTTGCATTATTAAAACAATAAAAAAAAAAAAAAAACACATTTTTTGAGTGGTGTGTGTGAAGGGAGGGAGGGAGGAAGGAAGTCATTATGAAAAATATGTAAGGATGTATATCTGTGTGCACGTGTGTGCAAATTTTCATTCAGAAGTGGAACTGATGGCAGCTAACACTTACAAAATACAAGCTTATTTGTAACTCCTGCCAGTTTTATTTTTATTTTTTTCATGAGCCTAAAATGCTGTCACAGGATCTATTGGTTGCTGATTTTCAAACATGCAGTGAAGTTATGATCTTGTGGAAATTTTTGTGCATTTTAATGGATTTGAGCTATTAAGACAGTGCATAAAACTGAAAAGACCTAGCTTTTCTGTCCTCTATTTGAAATACTGTGTTTTATTATTGTTGTTGTCATTCTTGCTGCCAGTCTGAGGTGCTGATGATAAATTTCAGTATTTTTGAAAGGCTATCCTGGAAAAAAAAAAAGTAAAAAAAAATAAAAAGAATTTTGGGTGACTTATATTCTGCTTTAATTGGCACATTATACTTTTTCCTCTTCATATTTTCATTCTGCTTTTCAAAAGTACTTTATAGTTTATCCAAACCACTTTATAGATTTACATTCTGGCTTAGCTGGCCATTTTTTTTTTAAATATTTTTTTTAATTTCAGAAGAGTGAAGTCAATTGAGGCTGGCAAAGCAAATTCATCTCCTTCAGATAAGAGAGTTGCACTGAAGCCTTCGTCCTGAAGTTACACCGTCCCCTAGCCAGTGAGTGGCATTTATTTACACAGATAAATATACACTGCTGCCCAGCTGGAGGAGTTGTTACTTGCAAAGGCACAGGCAGGAAAGAAAGATATGTTTCCACCCATGTTAGCTGTATATCTGAGTGCAAGTACCAGCCGTTGGGCGGGGTGCCCACAGGGCAAGCCTAAGGATGAGAAATGATGCAGCTGCTCTTTTTTTTTTTTTCTTTTTTTTTTTTTTTTCAGCTTTCATGCATGCTCAAACATCATTTGGGGCTCCTCCGGATGAAGTGTTTGACTCCAGCTGCCAACCTCAGCTGAACTTCAGAAAAAGAGGGAAGTACATCAGCTAGTGTTGGGGATGAACAACCAAGTGATAACGCAGGCTGCTGTGTGATTCCCGCTTATGCCACTGGAGGGGCTGAAGCAATCAGACTTGTCTTGCTTCATTTTATTGCTTTAAATTTACGCTGTAGCCCACCAGCATTAGCAGAGAAGCTGGAGCTAGAGATGATCACACAGACGAGCTTGTCCTCTCTCTTTCACTGACTTTTATCTTCTGTTCAAAAAGTTGCATAGCTGTGAGCTGCATAAAGATACTGACTTCACATTTTTTTTCACTGAAATCCCTGTACCTGCCTCTGATCAGCTTAAGAAGTTGTAAGCTTGCACAGAACTGTGAGAGATCTGTGCAGAAGTTTTTCCCTTGGTTAATACTGACTGACCAGTGCAGAAGTATGTATTTGTGTATGTATTTAAATGTCAGCTGTTCTGATCTCCGTCTTGAAGCTTATATTGCTTACTGCAAAACCTCACAAGCTTTCTGACAATTCTTTGTGTAGCAGAACAAGCCCTCTATGCAAAAAATAACAGTCAAGCAGTGGGTCAGGTTGGTGTTACTCTCAGCTGTATGCATCAGTAGGTGCTGAGGGACTGAGGGGCAGAGATGTGTACGTACCTCATGCTTGGCTATTTTCCCCTGCAGATAATGCATAGATAGAGTTAGTCTTTTCCCCTGGAGCTTTAGAAAGCCCTACCCAAGAAAAATTAGCTGTGTAAAAGCATGTGTCGTGCTTAACTCTTCAAGCAGAGGGAGTGCGTGATTAACTGTGCTAGCAGAGGATGATGCTGCACTAGAGGATGTGGTGAGAGATGCAGAGTTAAAACAGCACAAAAATAAGAACCATGGGTCAGAACTCATTCTGGTAGGAGAAAAGCAATTGGATAGGAACTGCCATCCATTCACATAAAAGAGTATCTGTTGTACTTTAAATTCAAGTCACAGCAGGACTCAGAACTGTGCTACTGGGAAAGAGAGAGCATCTCAACAAGATACTGAAACGTGGAAGAAGATGGAACATTTATGAAATACTGAGAAGTTGTGTGTGATTTATACCATATCTTTTAAGCCACAAACCTTTGTTCCTCAGCTAGGCATTTGTCCTGCCTTGGGTTCCTCAATAGCGAGGGGGTAGAGGAGAACTCCTGCTTGGTGTCATTCCTTACATCTCAAAAGGTAGCAAAGCATCACTGTGTGTTCATACAGTGCCCACGAGCAATACTGTAGGTCTTTGTGAAAATTATAACACAAAGAATGATGAAAGAAATGGGATACACCACATTTGCCAAATCTGGTAATATTGTTCTCTTTCATATATTCAATAATAATTAAAAAAGAGCCATGAAAGATTCAGTTTTAGCTAATCTGCTAATGAAAAAGAAATAATATATCTGTTCTTCTGGTGTGTTTCAATTACAGCAATGACAACCATCAATAAAAACAGTAAAATAAGTGAGTATGAGTTGCAATGTGTGACTACAGGGGTGAATGTGAAAGCGGTTAGGGAAGTAGGGGGTGTTGCTGGTCATCCGTAGGAGCAAAGACACTCTCCAGTTGTTACTTGGACACCAGCCATCTGAGAGATTATTTCCATTAAAATCAAATGAAAAATTTATTTTTAGAACTTAACATTTTGTTGTTGTTGTTGCTATGTCGTGTTTTGTTTTGTTTTCCATGTACACTTCCATTCCCTTTTAATTTGTGAAACTCCTGGCCTCAATTGCCTCTGGTGGGAAGGAGCTCCGCCAGACAATCATAGGCTGTGAGAAAGGCCTGCTTTTCACCCCTCTGCCTTTCCTTTTCAGCAAATGCCCTCCTGCTCGGGTAGGATGGGAAACGATGAACAGGGCTCACTTTCTTTGGTGCCATTCATTATTTTGAACACCATCATCTGTTCCCTTCTCTGAAGCAAACAGGCCCAATTATATTATTCATCCAGAAGTTTTCCATGCCTCTAATTATTTTCATTGTAATTTCTGAACTCATTTTATTTCTGCTTTGTCCTATTCAGGATGTCCAGAACTGGCTACAATGCACTAAGTTGGGATGATAGGAAATATTTTCAGCATCACTTCTTTGTTCCATTCTTCTTCCTTACTAACTATTCCTGTTTTTACCACTGAAAGACATCTTCTTCAAAATGCTTAGTGACACACAACTGTTTTTTTGACTCTTTACAGTTGCGTTTAGAAGCCAGAAGATGTAGTTCATATTATTCCTACCAGAAGGCACCATTTTCTGTTTGAAAATGCTGCATTCATCTGTGGTGGCATCTTGCTTGGTATTTCATACAAGCTCCCCTCTTGGTTTATCTAAATGTTTTTGCCTTCTACCATTTCTGCTCTCCTGTTTCCTTGTTAGTTTTCCAACTCTCTCAGCCAAAACCTTTTGTCACTTGACTCTCCAAGATTGTTTTGTATCTGCATTTTATCCCTTTCCATTCCCAGAGCCAGAGTACACCTGTGCTTCTTACATTACTGTTGTCCATCTTTTAAATACTTTAAATCCCGGTCAGATCAAGGCATTACTATGATTTATTATTGGGTCTGAAAATATTTGGCTTGACTAGACCGTACTTATGGCACATCAACTAGGATAAATTGCTGCGGTTCACTCTGAAAGAGACACCAACCAGCTCATCAATCATACAGGCTGCAGAAGGCCATGGTGCAGCAAATAATAGTAATTGATGGATAATTTCTGGGCTTTGCATTTTTCATTAGAGATACTGACCTACAAACAAGGCAAAAGGAGAACAACTTGGTTGTGCATGTCATGATTACATCAGCTGCCACAGAAACAAACTAGCTGATGAGAAAAGAATAACATCCCAAATATTTCAGTTTATTTTTAAATAAAAATGGTTATCCATGAATTTCTAAGGCAACTCTCATCACCAGAAAATAGTAATGGATCAAAGAATGTAATCATGGATTTTTAAAGCATCTGGAAAAAAAAAACCAACAACACAACTACAAAACCCAGTTTCTTCTCTACGAATTGCCAGTTTCTGACTTCAGGACTCTGTTTCCAGGGCAACAGTTGATAACATAACAAACACTGAAGAAAGTACATGAGAGAATTCCCTGTTCTATTTTAGGGGAGAGTTATTGCTAAGGGAATAAGGAATATTTTGTACTGCGAAGTATTTATAACATGGACTGCGAAGAGCCTTCGCAGTCTGTTTGTTATCTGGTGCTTGCCAAGAGATGGAGCTGCAGAGTCAGACACCTACCAAGCCCGACCCCTGTAAATCAGGCACGATATTACAAAATCCTTGGCAGCAAAAGCCTGCAGCCTCTCATACTGATGCATGCTACTCTTCCCCCAGCGACAACAGTCTTTAAGGCATGACTTGGGCACCTAGCCAGCTCTTCCCAATTTATTTCATTTAGCTGTGGTTCAGCAAAGCCAACAAGCCAGCTACATTCATCTTGGTGGATCCTGGCCTCTAGTCAGATAATGCTGTAGAAAATGCTCAGCAGTCCCACAGTTGAGCAGTAACAGGATTAAAACAGCTGTCCTCTTGCACTTGCCTGGCAAAGCCTGTCCCCTGCACACATGCTTGTCAAAATGCCAGCAGTGCTGCACAGCTCTTCCTCAACTTCTTCCTACCCCATGCAGGTTTACAGACATAACTCTGGAAGCCATAAACCTGCATCAGTACAGAGAGAAGCCAAGCTTTTTTGGAGCAGACCTTGGGTTCAGCTCCAGGTTAATGCAGTGGACCAGCAACTCTGGTCCAGCTCACATCTGCACCAGCTTTGCCCTCCCTGCCCAAGCAACCCAGCAGAACGGGTCCAGGTTTGAACATACCTGCCCCTAACAATCTGTCATTGCCGGGAGCTGTTTTGTGATTATGTAGAGGCAAAATCACCTTCATGGTGAGCCTGCTGAGCTAATCTGGCTCCCACTCATCCCCAAGCCCCAGGGGATTCTCAGAATAAACATCCCTGCAAACCAACCCACTGGAGCCTCTTGGCCTTCCCACAATAGAGACCCTGAGTTCTCAAGCAGAGAAGAGCCAGGAAGGGGCATGAACACCCCAGTGCTCTCCTGTGCCTCAGAGTCTGGGGCATTTTTCTAGGGTACCTATTTTAAAGTCCATGTTCTGCTTCGTTTGCATCATTGAAAATCCTCCTCATGCTTACTTTTTTTTTTTTTTTTTTTTTGAGCCAACAGCTTGTGGGATAACTTGTACTTCAATCTCACTCCTGGGTGAGAGGGAAGAAGGTAGAGTGGGAGAAGAGTAAAAGGAGGTGAGCCTGCCTGTGCCTTGGGCTTGCAGTTATAACCTAAGGTCTGTGCAAAACAATTTTTAGCCTTTCTTTCACCACAGTTTTCTTTCTTTGTGTTAGGCAACATATCAGTAAGAGAGATTCAAAACTAAATAGATTGGAAGAAAGGCAACTTGTCTATTTGCTAAACAGGACTGACAAATGTCTTTTCTCTCCACATATTTTTTTCATGGCAAAAGGCTGACCTGGATTATGCGCCTATTTTTTTCAGAAATATTTTGGCTGAGAATACTGAACAGAGATAGGGTTTCAAATACTTTTGGGATAAGGATCCCTTTTGGGATAAGGCAGGATGTCCTGTGTTGATATTTCCTTTTGGGTGTCTAAGGGAACTCTTCACTTCCTAATTTCTGAAATTCCTGTTTCTACAAGCTTTGGGCTATGACTGGCCCTAGCTGATGGATAGCTTGAAAATCTGGCATGGCAACCCAAAGGTCTCTTTGGAGTTTTAGACTTCTAGGAACTTGGTGAAATATTTTTAATATATTTTCCCAGCAAAAAGCAGTCATGGTGCCTGTTTGTCAATCGGTTTGTCATTTGGTGACTGGATAGAGAATGAAACCCCTTTAGACTTAAGGTTTTCTGACACATAGACCTACTGGTCCTTACACTCCAACTTAGCAGTGACTCCCAGTTTTCATAGGTCCTGAGGCCAGTGAGTCACTGTGAAGCCTTCACTGGACTTCTGGATTTGCTAAATTAGTCACTAGGCTGTGTTTCAGGTGCAATATCCTCATTCCTTGACTCTGAAGCCCATGTTACTGGTTAGAAACTATTGCTCCAGGTGAGCCCTGGTAACTCACTGAACCTCTGTGTTTCAGCCTGCCTGTGTTGGTTAACAAAAACCATCAGTAATGGGTAAACATAATGATGTGTTTTGTCATGGCTTAAAGATGTTTCTTCTGCTTTATACTGGTAGGTGATGAATTATTATTATCCTTGGTTTAAATGATGTGGTTATTGACAGAGGTGGGTCAGTGACTCACCGTGGAGCTCACCAGATTCAAAAGAAAGGTCCTAGAGATTTCACTTAGCAATGGAGAGATGCCAGTATATTTTTGTACGTATATCAGCTGATGAAAAGCTGGTTATATGGTGGTTTTGATCTGTGAAAGTCTTAGGCAAATCTGCTTCCATCTTCTGTGCCTATTTGTCTGAATTTGCAGGAAGTGAGTATGCCTAGGCATTGGCAACCAGACAAACCACATACATACGAGCTGAGCTGTATTTTAATTAAGCAATTAAGAGCAATATTTTTGCACCGTACAGGTAGTTCATATTCCAAATGATGTAAATTACATGCACATACTTTGTTTATTAAAGATGTATTAGGTATATTGAAGTGGTATAATTAAGTAACCACTTTTTTTGTTGGAGGAGCTCTGTTTTCTGCACTGTAAAACCACTTTCCCCCAGTATAAAACTTATAACAGCATTCAGTTGGCTCCTGAGGCAGTGGCAGAAATTGCAACTGCTCTGTTTCACCTTAACCAGAGCTGGATGGGTCTGGTGGTGGAAACATGACAACCTTTAGCAGAACAGGTAGCTTTGGTGGTGACTTCTGGAGTTAATTCTTGAGATCAGAGAGACCCTTCAACCACTACAGCTTTCTTCAATCACTATCTAAAGTGCTACATGAAGTTGACATTAAATACTTAAAGAGTATATCAGGTCAAGCAGACCTCCCATGCACATCCTAATTTTGCTCCTTTGGAAAGCTGTGAGGTAACGTGATGAAAACTCGAAGGAACTGAAGTCATCCAATGCTGGAAATATTTGAACCCCTGCTCCTTTCCTGTGCCTACTCATTTGTGGAACAATGATTCAGTGTCAACTACAATAGGACTATAATGGGATGAGTATATACTGCATTACTTGAAAAATATTTTTTCTGTGTATTATTAACTGACGTCATACATAAGATTGAACAGTGAAAACAGAAAACCATAGCACGTTTGGGCTTTTATGAAGTAAGTACTGATGGAGAAGCTTAGAGTGGCTGGACAACAGATGGCAATAGTCCATTCATCTGGAGTGGTGGTTTACCCTGCTGGGCAGCTGAACTCCACCACAGCCGCTCTCTCACTCTCTTCAAAGGAAAAGAGGGAGAAAATATGATGGGAAGAGCTCAAGGGTTGAGATAAGGACAGGGAGATTGCTCACCAGTTATTGTCATGGGCAAAACAGACTCAACATATGGAGATTAATGTAATTTATTGCCTATCACTAGCAGACTCAAGAAGTGAGAAACTAAAAGCAAGCTACAAACACCTTCCCCCCATCCACCCTCTTCTACCTCCTCCTCCTGAGTGGTGGAGGGGAACGGGGAATGGGGCTGCGGTTGGTCCCTAACACTTCGTCTCCACCGCTCCTTCACGGTCACTCCCTGCCCCTGCTCCCCGTGCGGTCCCTCCCACGGGATGCCGTCCTTCCCAAATTGATCCCGCATGGGCTGCCCACAGGCAGCAGCTCCTCAAGAGCTGCTCCCACACGGCTCCGTACCACGGGGTCCATCCCCCAGGAGCAAACTGCTCCAGCACGGGTCCCCCACGGGTGGGCGGCAGCTCCCCCCAGACCCCCTGCTCCTGCGTGGGCTCCTCTCCATGGGCTGCAGCGTGGAGATCTGCTCCATGTGGGACCCATGGGCTGCAGGGGGACAGCCTGCTCCACCAGGGGCTCCTCCACAGGCTGCAGGGAAACTGCTGCTGCCTGCCTGGAGCACCTCCTGCCCTCCTGCTGCACTCACCTTGGGGGCTGCAGAGCTGCTTCTCTCACATTTTCTTTTTCCCAGCTGCTGTTGCACATCAGGTTTTCCTTAAATTTTCTGTCCCAGAGGCCAACCAGCATCACTCCCTGGCTTGGCTCTTGCTAGGAGCAGGTCCCTTTTGGAGCTGGCTGGAGCTGGCTCTGATCTGACATGGGGCAGCTGCTGGGATCTGCTCACAGAGGCCACCTCTGCAGCCCCCCGCTACAAAAGCCTTGCCATGTAAACCCAATACAGTAGGCCAGCCATTTTCCAGTGCTGCACATTTCTGATAAAAAAGTTCATTTGGACCCATAGTATTTTATGGACACATCTGAGGGTCAGGGGTTGTTTATCACCCCCAGACATGGCAATCCCAGCCATTGCAAGGCTGCCAGCTGCTGGGCTTGTTTGCCCCAATGCCAGGAGGCAGGCAGCCCCCTGCAAGCTTCTCTGGATGTGGCAAAGGAGAAAATGAAACAGTACTAGGTGTTTTCATGGCTGATCAGCACAGACTAGTAGAAGTGAAAGAGCCAATGCCAGCAGAGTATTTTGTAGAGGACACGACAACTGCCGGTGTCTCAGTTTATGGCAACTTGGAGGAAGAATATGGGACATAACTGAACACCTGAGGCTGATAGTATGATAGACTGACTAAGATCATTCCTATGTCACATCTGTCAGATTATTTGTATTAAAAGCTATTCTGTTCTGCTTTAAAAAACACTTTTTTTTTCTTTTTTTTTTTTTTTTTTTTCATTCTAGGTACATGATTATAGCGAGGATTATATTATGGGTTGCAAATGTCCATTATCATTGTCTCATATCTATAACATCAGAAAATCCCACTAACTGAGTTAAAAATGACAAAGAATTGTATGGGTATGGAGATCTAATTCCTGCCTCAGCTTTTCAGGGATTCTTTCAGGACATCATGAGTAACATTTTTCTAGAATAATAGCAATTAACTTTCTGAGAGGCTTGGGGCAAACGTTAACAGCTCTTGGAAAATGCCAGTTTGGCTTCATTATTCCCACATACTGGCATGAACAGCTTGAAAGACCCACAGAGATCACCCTTCCTCTCAGGCTTTTCTTCTGATGTTTGTTAACAACACTGTTGTCAGGTTTAAGACTCGTCATACTATATGGGCTTCAGCACGGGTGTCTTTTTATTCAATAATGTGGGGTCAATGGGGTTACACATGTCCCACCATTTGTAACGGTGAGTACTGGAAAAGATGCATCCAGCCTTTCAGCTTCTGGAGCTGTCATTCACGGTACTTTTTGCAAGCAGTACATTCACTTGAAAAAAATAATATTAAAAATCACCAATGCCTTTCTTCTGTGCTCATGGCTCGAGCTGTTCCCTCCGAGACTCCTGCACTGTGTTGATATGGCAACAGGCTGCCAGATATTACATCAAGAGCAATGCTGCAGCACTTGGTCCTGGCAATTTATGATTGTTGATTCAAGATATCTAGAGGACTTTATTCACTGTTTCACTTACCTCTCCGGACCTTCATGGTCAATCTATTTTTTCCTCTCATGAAACCTTCAGGTTACTTCCTTTCCTATTGCGTTCCCCCCTGGAGCACTCCAGGCATCTCAGCTACATCCATGCTTGTAGGGATCATGACATAGGTTAGAGCACTGCCCTGTGGTTTCTTACACAGCTTGAATGGATTAGTCCAGCTCCAGTGCAGTTTTGGCTAGTACCAACCACCATGCCCCCCCTGGCAGGCTAGGCTGTGCAAAGCAGTCCTGTTCAGATGGTTTGGGAATGGTTCCCTCCAGAACAGGCTGGGTGCAGCCTCACGGCCCAGTGATGATGATGGTAGTGATGAAGATGTGTGACTTTTTGAATGTTCAGCCTCCAAAACAGATTGAAGGCTCTGCTTTAATCTACTGCAGCAATGTCTTAATGGCAGAAAAGTGAGACTACAAGCTTTGTGCCTGAGGCTATGGGATGAAAACCTGTGGGAGGATGTGAAGGTTGGGATCCTGTGGGGAGGGTGCTTGAGGCTGGCAGAAGGTGGAGAGGTGCCAAGGTGTTGCGGACATTTCTGTACTGCCTGTTGGGAGCCACTCCTGGAGCCTGCAGCCAAAAAATTTACAAACATTTACACAGTGTGGAGCAGAGGCCAGAAGGAGAATGGAGTTGTCTGAGAGCAGATGTACCCTCAGGGTTTAAACTAGCAGTCATGAAGCCACGGCCCTGAAACTTCTTGTGTAGTCAGGGCCCTCAGGGCTGTTGCTCGGGGTGCATTGCTGTGCCGCCCGACCCCAGGATCTCTTCCAAGTGTGTGGGACACTTCCTTTAAGTCTGACAACCGTCTTGACCTGCCTTTCAGTAGGAATCACAAGGCTGTGAACATGGGGCCAGGTGAAATGTGTCTATGCCCAGGGTGGAGACAGACATCTAGCTCCCCATCACGCACCATACATCAGGTCAGGCACTTTTGCATTTGTGAGAGCGAAAGCTGAGATGCTCCTCACTGCTCCAAGTGCAGGTGGCAGGATGGATGCTCAGCGGGAAGAGTGAGGGCAGTGAACAGGGCCAGCAGCAAGCAGGCATTTTGCAGTTTCCTCCCCAAGACTGACAGGCATTAAGTATCTCAGTATTGTCTTGTGTGATGTCCAAAACGGCATGGTGGAACCCCGGCTTACAGCTACAGGTACTGGCAATATTTGTGAGAGGTCACACTTCCTGCTTGAATGCAACCATTCATTTTTTCATTATAACTGGCTTAATTCAGTATGAAAAAAATATTTGAAAATTTCTTATCCTTTCATTTTTTCCCCCCAAAAGAACATAAAATTTCCATTAATATGACTTTTTTTTTTTTTTTTTTTTTTTTTTTTTTACTTTGAGGGTTTTCAGAAACTAAGTTTAGGAACATAGCAGAGTCTCTTGATTTAATGAACCAAAGCTTCATGGATACATGTTTTTCAGGATGAATGGCTTTAGAGTTCTGGTGGAATTTCTACTTTTAATTAAAAACAAGCAATTTGCAGAACATATTACATGCATCTTGAATAAGAACTATTCTAAGAGCTTGCAAAATAAACCAGAAATAGTTATCTTTAGACTTAGCTAGGTGATTCATGGCTACAAGAAGTCAAGAGAGGGTGTAAGCCTTTCCACGAACACTTGTGTGAGTTTTAAGTACAATATCCTTGTTATTTTCTCTTAATTGATGGCAAAGACAGTTAAGTAATTTGTACATACCAGCACTTTCCAGTTGGTGCCATGGTGAAAGTCGAGATCTGAAAGTGGAAAAAGGAATTCAGGCTTAAAGAGGCTTCACTGACTCGTGAGATATTCTTGTCACAATGCTATAATTATCATTTAAAATAACAAAACATCACTAGAACAGTTGCTGTTTCCTCACCATTATGATCCTATATATATCCTATATATATTCTCACTTCTATACCTGTGCTAAGACATCATCTTAGCACGAAAGAAGCTAGCAATTTGTATATTTATTAGTCACACTCCTCAGCCACCCTCAATGGAGCAAAAAACCATGAACTATTTCATGGTTTGCTTCATTTGACATATGAAGAAGAGGACCTCATAAAAGTGTGACTCCAGAAACAATTATGAATGATAACATTGCTGAATTTTCTATTACTAACTGTTGTCTTACTGATATGTTTTTTCCTCAGGATTATCTAAATAAGGGTAAAAATATATGTTTAAAATACATTGAATATATTAGCTAAGACATTGGAATATTTAGACCATGCAGGGATAGCTGAACCTTCTGTCATTAGTTGCTTGCCATTCAGTCTGGTGTTAAAAATATATCTTCAATGAAAGACCAAGTACTAAGTGCTGCAATGCCAGTATATTTTTTAAAAATTTAAAAAGATTTTTTGTATTTTTAAAGAGAGAGTATGTTCTTTTGTCATTCATAAAAGTAGTCTTCCTTGAAAGACACAATAAAATCCTCCGTTCACTCACTGAAAGAGGCATACTTATGCATTAGTTACAAGACTGATAAATCATGGAGCTTGCAGTGAGTTATGTATCCCAATAGGAATAAATATTTTCTTCTCCCATATTGAATGAATTCCTGTTACTGGAGTCTGGTGTGAAAAAGGGAAAGAGAGGTGACATACATTGGTTATATGACAGAGTAAGTTGACCTTTATTCATATCACAGGAGTTAAAATCTGTAGGATTGTCTTTCCAGCCTTAGGTTGATAGGCGATGTTACACAAGCATGCCATCTTACATTAAGTTTGAACTTCATGGGATTTTCTGAAGGAAAACACAACCCTGTTTGGTCCAAGTAGTTCCATTTTTTAAAATACTTTTATTCTGCATTTATTTCATGGCATCACAATGAGCAAATATAAATCAAATCCTTCTCATTGTTTTGCTGATGAGAGATCTTTAATGAAATACAAAGTGTCTTTCTATTGTCAGTGAATTGTTAACAGCTTTAAAAAAGATTTATTTTTGAAACAGCTATAGTTGAAGACACAGGAATTGCTTTAAGATGAAGCAGTTGCCTCATCCACCAGAAGCACCATATAAATGACTGAATATTTAATCTCTCTCACATCGATAGTGAACTTGAAATACATTTCTTTTTTTCCTTTTTCTATTTAGCCGTAGAAGTGATCACTCACTACTAATAACAGGCAGGCTCTTACAGTGCACATTCCTAGTTATAGTAGGTTTAGGTTTCATTACTTGCATGTAAAAGCATTTTTTGAAAAATGCTCGCCAGATGTTTTTCACTCTTTTACTGCCTGTGTTAAGAATGTGTATTCGTTATACCTGGATGTGATTCTCCAAAAGACTGGGAGACGTCTCCGGCATTTGAAAGCCATGAGAACACCCAGACATATCATATATGACTGTGCTTGGACAACTGAGTGGGAGCGGAGGAAGAGAGAGGATAACCCCACCACGTTGCTTCATTATGTATGGATAGCCACAACTCACACTCGTACATATGCTTCTGCCTTTAGCTTGGTAGTCTTTTCCCTGTGCAGCTCCATGTCACTCTGCATCACATATTATGAAAGCTGTTGAAAAGCATACAGGCTGTTACACCATGAGTGTTTCCCCACCTAAGTACTGTCTGCTCATTAGCACTGAAAGTTGAATCCACCAGCTGAATTGCTTGGAGGCAGCAGAAACAAGACGCAGAAACATGATGCTTGATGCTTACGCTTATTCAAATCCTTTGTTGAAACCATTCAATCCTTGCGGCTTAAAGAAAACAGGAGCCTGCCATCATTTACTATTGGTTGTTTTTTAAAAAATATTTGGTCTTAGAAGCTGCTAGAATCGCAACAAATGCCTGAGCATATGTTATTACATTTTAAAGAGTCTGTCTTTCATGTTTAATAGGGAGAGCTTGAAGATATGAAATGGGTGTCCTTCCCTTCCCTTCCCTTCCCTTCCCTTCCCTTCCCTTCCCTTCCCTTCCCTTCCCTTCCCTTCCCTTCCCTTCCCTTCCCTTCCCACAAGCAACAAGCTTATCTGGCCTGAGATGCTGATACAAATACAGCTCCTTGTGCCTCTGGCTTCTTCTTAAGTTAGGTCAAGAAGAAAATGGAAAGTGCTTACCACTCCCTGAGTGCCTTCTGTGCACATAAGCCCCATAGTTTAGGGGGGAAAAGAGAAGCTTGAGTGCTAACAACAGAGGAACTTGTTCTTGAGCAGTCAGTGCTCGCTTCGAAAAAGAGAAGAAAGCCTGCCCAGCCAGGGTACCCCTCATGAAAAGAGGCTACAGAGCAGAGGAGAGGAAGAAAAGAAACTTGTTAGTGCAACAGCCATACTTGACTCCAAATGTTGCCACTACCTACCTCATTTCCCTTTATCCAGTCCACCTGTACAGCATTAACATCTCTAATAGCACTTCTTGCAGTGGGAGGAGGTTGCTGTGAGGCTCATTATCAGCCTGTCTAACCTTGCCTTGTGGGAACAACAAAATTCCTGTATTTCAGAAGACGGTGGTGCTCTGTGCAGTGCATGGAGGTAGTGCTGAGATGCGTAGAGCTGTGAAGGCTGCAAAAGCACCGTACTTGTGCTGTGCCTGTGCTGGTGGGGAGTGCTGGAGAACTTCTTTGGCTCTTTTAAGGCTTGTTTTGCATTATTTGGCATGGCTATCTGGGAGAAAGCAACCCCTGGGAGCAATGAAGGTGTCGCTGGTAGGACTTGCATCAAGCTCCTACTACAGACATTACTCAAGGGATAACATATTCTTTGTATGGTGAACTGTGTGTCTGGAGACTTGGTGTATCCACAGATGGTGCTCATGAATTGAAAACACACCTTTGAGCTTTCACTTCAACCAGCCAGCCCCTTGAGCACTTAGCAGCAGTAGAGCAGCCCTGAAATGAAAAGCAGAGAGAGAGCCTGTTGCAGTCCTAGCATAAATACTTTTATTCTTGGTTTCATGACTCCAAACATGCCAAAGCAGAACATGAACACAACCAAGCTGTATTTAAGGTTGGACACAATGGGATTCTACAGGTGGCACAGCCTCCTTGTGCATGTCCTCAGAGGTTGCTCCTTACACAAACTGACCTGGAAGTGCTGCCCATGGGGTTTCCTTCAGGAATCACTAATTGTAAGAGGTCCCCTATGATGGCGGACTGAAGAAACATTTACTCCTTATTACACACCACGTTTCAGAAGTGCAGCATTTTACCTTTCCACTTCATGTTCCCCATGGTGTTGCTTTCAGTTTTTGTCTTGTCCAAGATCAGGGGAGGCTGTTTCTTGTTTCCTTTATCTTTCTGGTCCTTCAGTGAAGTTGCAGCATTAGCCAGCTCCAGCAAGGAGTACAGGCTGCCATTTCTCCCTCTCAAGTCACCAGCTGGCAGTGCTCTCTTTATAAAGCTGCTAAAATCAAAGGAAATACCACAACATTTCTGGTTTCATTAAAAGAGAGTCTCCCCGTTCTAGTTCTGGGAAAAGCCTGAACACATGAGGAAGGCACAATACGATAATGGCACAAAGAGCAGAAAGTCTCCCTGGGGTATGTTTTGAACCTCATTTTTTTGTGTGTTAACTTCAAGATTTTGACCACTTGGCAGTAGCACTATTGCCAGCATGCTAAATTTGAATGCACACCCAAACACATGAATCCATACACAGTCCCTCTGGGGCTCAGTTACTCAGCCTCCCTCTTGGTGTAGGACTGTGTGGCAGTCCTGCTTGCTGTAAACAGCAGCGTTTGCCTGGCAGATGTACAGTGATAGCTTCACAGCCAGACAAGTCAGTCCTTCTTTTCCAAAATATTTATTTGATAGTGCTTTCTTAACCACTTTGTTCAGCTGGCTTTTCCCCCATCAGTTTCTCCTGCATCAATGCAGGAGTGAGGAAGGTTTCCTGGTGCCTGCTGTGGCTGTTCCAGCTCCGTGGTCTAAACCAGGTGAGGCTGCAGCTCTGGTCACCCCACTTCTCCCTCACCATGCGTGATCTGGGTGCTTACTCCTCCGAGTAAACTGGTGATTCATGTGAACGTGCTCAGCTATGTGGGAAGAGTAACAGAGGAGTAATGTGAAAATGAAGCTTTCTCCAAAGAATCTTCTGCGAGTTTTTACTTTGATTTTGTCCTTCCCCAAATCACAAACAGAAAGGCATTGTGTTTTTTTATGTTTGTTTATTTTTTACTTAATTTTTCCACACTTAAGAAATAGTTATGGTTTCATGTGTAATTTCAGGTACAAAGTTGCCCCACTCCCAACTTAAGAAAATAAAAAATGAGCTTATAGGCTAGCCCCCGTTTCAGTATGTCTTTCCTCTCCACGGGCTCTCTCTTCCCCAATGTCTCCCAGGTTTTCCTCTCTTCCCTCGCCCTGCCTCTCCCAAGCTCCCTCACGTTTCCTATCTGCTCTTCCTGGCTTAGGACATTTTGCCTCACCTTGGTGTTCACCTTGGTGCAGACCTTTCCCTACCTTCCCCGGGGACATTTCGCAGCTTTCTTGAGACACTTCTGGGTCTTTTTTTAGCCTGGGTTTTGATAAGCAGAGCAAGAAGGTACATTGCCCTGTGTGATCATATCTCCCAGTCGTAAGACCCGGGGGCTACAGCTGGCAGTCATCAGAGCTACCTTCCCCAGCAAAACGCCCTTTCAGATTTGTGCTTCACCCCTAGCCTGTGCCTCGTGGGGGATGCCCTGTGCAGAAACCCAGCCAGCACGGGGAGGAGGAGGACAGCACGAGGACATAGCGCTGTTCTGGATATAGCCTGTGTATCCCTGTCTGGGCAAAGTCCATGCCTGCTGGGAATTGCTGCGTGCCCCCAGGGCTTCCAGCAGCACACTGCCAGGGTCTGCCACGGGAGAGGAAGGGCTGGGAGATGGGGCACTGTGCAGGGAGCCTCTGGGCGCTGCCCACCTCCTGGCACTGAAGCCGCTCTGCGGCAGCTGTGCAGCCCCCAGAGGAGTGCCAGTGCCAGCATGATTTAGTCCCCAGCCTTCGCGCTCCTCAGGCAGCAGCTCCTTCAGGTTCCTATTGCAGCAAACGATTTGCCAAGCCAGGCAGCTCGAGCTGAAGGCAAATCCAGGCATATAGCCTGGGGCCCCGCATGTCTCTCTGCAGGGGAACAAGTTCAGATGCTTGGCATCTTCCTCTCCCTCCCTCTGAAGGTGAGCACCTCCCACACCAGTGCCTTTCTGTGCCAGAAGGAGCAGCCTGGGCTGGTGAGCAGCCCAGATTTTCCTGCAGCAGGATGTGCTTTGGCTGGAGGCAGAAGTGGTTTTCTTTTTAAAAGTTATGCAATGGTCACCGTGAGCTGATAACCCTTAAATTATAATAGCTCTTGCATTATCAATAACATGGGAAGGCTGGCTCAGCAGCCCTCTGAATAATACATACAAGGTGTATCTCTGGTGCCCAGTGCTGGCCTCATACCATTCCCCTCTCCTTGGGCACTTCTGAAATACAAGGAGAAACTGCAAGACAGAAGTCACCTAGCCACTGGCAGGTGGTCTGAGGGCTGCTGAGCATACTGAAAGTCTGATATGCTGCCTGGGTCTTGCATTTACTCATTTTAAACTCCATAATATTTTGGGGAAGTGCATCACTGATGCCTCAGAGAAGCCAAGAAAGCACACGGTGTGCTACATCACAGCCCAGTGCTGCTCTGGGGGTAGCACATTGTGTTTTTCCTAACATAAAGCTCTTTTTTTTGGCTGGTGTGTGTGTGGGGGGGGGGGCATTTTAAGGAGAACTTGATCTACCCAATGTTGTACTATTTGTACAACCCTGCCGGAGAACCTGACTTTCAGATAAGCCCTGCTGAGAACATCTCACAATAAAGTGGGGAAAGCAGAGGAACCCTGGCTGGGAAGGAGGTGAAGAACTGACACACACAGGGGGTGCACAGCCAATGCTATTTATTTCTTTAAAGTCTGGGATGACTGCTGTTTTACACTCCCTGACAGAGTCAGGTAGGTCATTATTGCATAGGATTTAATTTTGCCTGTCCAGAATGAACGGGGGCACCTAATGAATGAGCTGAGCTGGGGCAGAGCCCTCTCTGCAAGCCCTGGTGGGGGTACAGGGGATGCAAGGGGGTGCTGCGTGCCCCAGGCTCCCAGTCCTCGTCCCAGGGACTCACCCAGCAGATGTCACTGTTCACCCACCAAATAAACACGCTTTCAGGCAGCGAAGGGCCCTTGAAAAAAAACTACTGCAGGCTGGCATTTAAAAGTGAAATAACGCTGCCACAGAAGACCATTTTCGTTGGGGAATAAGAGTAAGAGCTGCTTATTTTCGTGAAAGTGGCAGGGGGTGCCAAGTTGCTGTAAAACCAGGGAAAATGTTGCTGTGTTTTTGCAGCTCCCTCAGCCCCTGCCCCTGGCACACAGACTGAGGGCAGGCTATGGGGCCGGACAGGCACGTCTAAGAGTGGAGGCAAACTTTAGCTGGTCTTACAGACACTGCTGCACTGCAGTGTTTGGTTGGGTTTAGTCATGACAAATAGTTTAGTGGTTTAATCACAACATAATTGTGTAGGATTAAATCATGACTAGCTGTACCCACACTTTATTTATTCAATGTATAGGTTCATATGATGCTTATGTACATACAAAATTCAAAGTAAGTGTTGGAAGAGCTGAACATTTTTCCCTCTGTACCTAAGTTAGCCAGGAGACTCAAAAATTATTAGTAGAAACAAATTGCATCCTTATTCTTTTGTAGAGATGTTGTGTGATGCTCTTCAGCCTGGAGAAAGGCTACAGGAGGGCTTTGCTCTTCATGCAGTGTGGCGGTGCGAGCTGTGCCTGGCACACAATGAAGCACCACTGCAGAGAAATGCAGACACCACGATAAAGAAGCACAGACACCGGTGTGGCAGGCGAGCCCGAGTGCTGCACAGCACCCAGGTGAGGACAGGCAGCCAGGGAGCTTGCTGGCTGAAGGGCAGGGCTGTAAACGGGGTGTGCTCAACTGGGGACGTCAGAAATGGCCACAGCTGTACAGTTCCAGATTTCAGCCGTGGTGATTTTGTGTTTTAAAACAAGCAAGAGGGCATGGACAGAGGGAAATGTAGTCACCATACCACTGGGATGTCACTAGGTGTCCTGGGAAGGAGCTGGGGAAGGGCAGAGGCATGTGCTGCCCTGCTGCTCCAGCCCACAGCGTCCTCCTGAAGTTACAAAATGCCTTCAGGAAGGGCTTCTCCACCTGAAAACTTGCTCACTGTTTTTCCACTCATAGCATATTGAAAAAATACTGTCTTTCCCTAACCTCGCTCATCTGCTCACCCCTGCTGACACGCTTGTGCTTTCCCAACACTGCAGGCTCCAGCTGAGCAGCAGCTGAGGCTGTTTGTCCCGCTGTCCTGCGGGAAGGTCGCTGCCAAACCCCTCTCTCCGTACTGAGTTTCCAGATTGCGTTATTTACGGGCATTCATCCCAATGCCAGCATTGTTTTTTGGGGTGAGGAGCTCTTCTGGCCTGCAGCGCGCGTTTCTAGGAAAACAATCCCTTCCTCTCTCTGCATCTCTCCCACGGGATGGCCAGGCCAGACGCTGGCTCTCTGCTATGGGGTTGGCTCCCCATCACCGGAGCAGCCCTACACTGTACCTGCCCTTTCTCAACTTCCCCAGGGTGAGCAGAAGCAGGGTGCTGTGCTAGATGTGGTCTCACCGGTACATCAGTTCTACCAAGCATTTTTTATTCCCCTAAGTAGCTCATGATGGGAAAATTTGAGCCATCATCTATGTCCAGATTGAAGACCGCTGATAAGATACTCCCCAAGAGGGTCCAGACCTGAGTTCCTTGAGGAACTTCACCACTGATTTCCAGGAGCAGTCCTGGCTGAGCTATTTCAGTCTGCCCCTTTAAATTGTGCTCTTTGACTCTGCATGTCCTAACAGCAAACTTGATTTCTGAAATTATGAAACAATAACAAGAAATGAAGAGATGTACAGAACATGCTGTGGGTGGGCTGAACCCATTTCTTATTTTTCCATTGTTCAGTGAAACCTCAATATATTAAAAAAAAAAGTGGTTTAAACAAAGGAGTCATCAGGTAACCAAACCCCATTGAGCCCATGTTCATATGTGGGGTTTGGCTTCCACCACAAGCCTTCATTCACCCTTCTCTCTAACTCACTGCAGCAGATTCGGTATTTCCACTAGCTTCAGCAGGAGTGGGAAGAGTTTGCTAGAGGAGATGTTTGAGGTGGTAGCGTCAGGCAGGGAGGAAAAGCTTGAGTTCAGATACATCTTTTTCATGCCGAGGAGGAGATGCCTATGAGACTCTGCCAAAGGGGTGAGAGCCAAAGCAGGGCAGGGGGCAGGAGGAGCCAGATGATGCTCCTGGTGGGCTTGGGGTCTGGGGAATGGGGACAGTGTTCAAGGAAGCAGCACTGGTGCCTCTCA